AGGGTTAGGAGGGACGCCGGTGAGAGTCTAGCCTCAAACTCAGTGATTGGGCTCACAAACGACTTGTTGCCCCTGGGGTCGAGTGTTTTTTGGAAAGGTGTATAGGGGGCGCTTTGAAAAACGCGCGCAGCGCCGCTAGCGGAGGAGGTGGCGTTCGACTGTGAGGCGCGTTCAGCAGCCTGCGGGGCCTTTTCGCATTCCAAGCTGTGGCGGCGGAAGCGCGCACGGATGAAACTTTTGCTTTTTGAGCCGATACGTTGAGGGTGACGTTGCATGAGTGCTGGGGCAGACATAAGAAGGGCATCTAGCTGTTCTCTATTTCTTATATATTGAGTTTGAGCCGTTATTAGGGGTAATTTCTCTAGTTGTGGCGAAAAAGGAGTTGGAGCAATTTTCCGAAAAACAAGACGGCCGCCACCATAATTGCTCTGAGTGGGAAATTTATTTCGCTCGTCGCTGTAAACGTAGGACTGTTGGAACGATGATATTTGGAGGCGAGTGAGATGTTCACTAAGTTTGTGCACGAAGAGTGCCAAGTTTCTTTAAGACAGCGCAGGTGTGAAAGTTATGTTTCTAACGAATAAAGAAATCAAGCTGTACGGGATATCCAATATTGGACCCAATATGTTGTGTTATAGCGGGCTGTGCAAAGTGCAGGTTTGGGCACACAGGTGCTTGGACTTGACAGTAACATGAAACAGCACTTATTATACAAAAAACGGTGGCTTAGGGAAACCAGGTGAAAATTTGGTTTGGGCGGCGTAACTCAATCGGAACCGGTTTTGACCATGAAAAGGCTGTCAAGAAAATACCACTGGTCAGGGGAGGTGGAGACTTTACAGGTAGAAAGGGACTAGTGGATTGTACTCCCTATTGAAACAACCTTACAAAAGGTGGTTCTAAAGCCGAGAAAACAAAGTTGTCGGCCAACACACGGTTTGGCCGCCAAGGGCTTTTGCGGTCAGCTGTTGTGTAATAACCTGTTGTGCGAGGTGCTGATTTTCGGCGCACAGGTACTTTGACATGACCGTCACTTGGCACAACAATTATTATAACAAAAAGAGTTGGCATAGCGAAACCAGGTGGAAATTTAGTCTGGGCGGCGTAACTAAATGGGAACTGGCTTTGACCGTCTAAGGCAAGTCATCGTGGGAGGTGCACACTTTACAGGTAGGAAGGGACCAGTGGAGGGTACTTCCAGTTCGAACCACTTTGCGATAGGTGGCTCTAAAGCCGAGAAAAAAATGTTTTCTACAGAACTCGGCTTGTCAGCGTTTCCACATTCAAAAGGAGGCTGATCAAGAAAGAAAGCGCACCACATAAACTTCCATACTCAAACGTCGATTCTCCAGTGATTCCGAGTTTCATTGTTGTTTTCTTTAGATTTATATTTGTCACTTTTTTTACCGTTCGAATCTTTCTTCATAAAGTACAGATTGTGTGCCATACTTGTCCGGAAATATCATCGACACGTACGATGAAGACGAAACTTCTTTGGAGGGCATTCTTCCAACGAAATTGGCACTGCATACCCGCGAGTGTGGGATGACATTTCAGTTCGTCCCATCGGCGCTGACACATGTAGGCGTTACTGGTACGAAAACAAACGCAGAGCGCAAAGCGGCAGTGTAGAATATGTCAGCCGTGCCGACACAGTGGCAGACATGATCGGGAGACCAAATTTCTCGCGTCGTACGGCACGGCTCCATCGTTGTCGCTGTCCCACAAAACATCGGCGAGGTGAAAAACTGTGAAACTTTGTCTCCACGAGACACGACACATAACTATTGAAGCACTTAATGACGCAGCACAGGCAGCACTTCATGCTGTGAACCCAGCGCAACCGCACCACTCCGACTTCAATGCGTACCAACGTATGCGGCGTGGTTTCGGTTTCGTTTTCTCTGGGGTTCTCACTGCCTACCTTCGGTACCGGCCGCGCGGAGGCGCGCCAGTCGCGTCGCACGGAGTGTATATAGTGCTCTAGGTGTGTCGAGCTGGTCGAGCGCGCCGGCTCTCCCATGCATCGCCGCGGCCGGTTTGGAAAATCATCGTCAGGGGCGCTCTACTCAGCGTGTATGCTAGGCGCGCGCGGCTGGCGCAGGGATTTGCGTGCGGCAAGGCGGGTAGCGGCAAATTCACGCCCGCTTTCATCTGTTCTTCAGCGCTTGTGTGAATTTATTTCAACCGTTCCTACATGCCCGTCCGTCAGGTGACACGTGGAGACTATGGACGTTGCCCCGTCAACCTCCGGCGTAAAGAAAACGCAGCGAGCGAAGCACTGCCTTCGTTCCAGGATGCACGACAGGCTACAGGTCTGCAAAAGAAAAACACACGTTATTCGCCGTACCGAAGGACTCAGTTCTCTTCTCTCACTGGGACAGGAATATTCCGAGGGGAGACACGCATCTTCAGGAAAACTCCGGGGTGTGCGCTTTTCACTTCGACGAGCGGTACATCGAGCGATACTTCCCTCAAATATCGCTCGATCCGTTCGAGATATCGCTGTATGAGTGGTGTTTTGGGGTTAATAATAATAATAATAAGTTTATTCACAAAGAAAGCATACATACAATTTACTCAGTCTCACAAAAGCACTTGCCCAAGTAGCACAAAATGTGGCTACAACGTTACTGGAATGTTGTCAGGTAACGTTGCCGAACGCTGCTAACGACCGCGGATTCTACTTTCCAGTAACGTTACACCACAATGTTACAGTAACGTAACTGCATACGTTACCTGGACATTACCCAAATAATGTTACTGGAACGTTGTTAGATAACGTTGCCAAACGTTGCTAATGGCCACCAGTTCTACCTTCCAGTAACGTCACATCAAAATGTTGCAGTAACATAGCTCTCTATGTTACCTGGATGCTAGATCAGTGATGTTACTCGGACGTCGTCGCTAACGTTGCTAGTTGTTGTTAATGGCCACGAATTCTACCATCCAGTAATGTTACACCAAAATGTTGCACTGACATTACGGCTTACTTAAAAGTGAAGGAATAAAAATGTGAAGAACATACACAAACGACCACTCTTTTATTTCGCAACAACATTTATTTTTTGAGGAGCAAAGAGTCGCATACAGGTCGAGATCAACTAGATACCCAAGGTGGAGTGTTACTGACTCATCCCTTATCTCCCTAAAGTTCCTTTGATCAAGCCTTCCTTTTGCAGTTAATCTTGACCTGTGCGCGAGTCTTTGCTTCCAAAAAACGAGCGTCGTAACTAAATGAAAGAGCGGTCATCTGTTTTTCCTCAGTGCTTTTATTCTGTCAACTTTCAGTAAACGTTTTTACAATATGCTGGCACTGGCCAGATATTACTGCATGTGTTACTTGGACATTACTGAACAATGTTATCCGAAAATACATTGACAAGCGCTGCCAGGAAACTGCATTTATGGTTGTCATGAAGTCATTTTTTGAGCTGGTGCCTGATATGAGTAAATGGATGTGCATTACAGGCCATTAATGAATCAGCATTTTGAAATCCTAGAAGCAGGACTCCGGAAGAAAACAAGAAGTTATTGGAATAAATTTATTCCAAAAACGAAACCAACATTACAAGTACCAGAGAATTCTTCTGTTTCTTACAAGCTATTAGATCTACAAAATTGTAAAGAACACACTAAATTACAAGGCTGATCTGCATAAAAATAAAAATGTAAAATAATAAAACTCCCAGCAACATAAAGCAAGTAGCCTAAAATAAAATTCTAAATATATCTCAAATTACACCCGATCTTGGGCTAGGACATATAAATAAATAACGGAGGCAATAAACCAAAAATGACTAGAAAAAGAACATAAATTTTAAATCTTCTAAAAATATCACACTAATGTGTACATAAATTAAAGGAGCTGTGCAACAATTTCAGGGCTTTGCTTAAATAATTGTGGAAGTTGATGCCTGACACTTCTGCAGTGAACTACAGAAAACAGATTTTGCCTGGATACCCTAGTTTTTACTTAAAAAAATGAAAAAGATCCAGGTTTTTGCCGCCTCTCAACTCGTGCATCGTCTTCCGGGTCACGTGCACAGTGACGTCACTAGAGTAGGCGCGGAGTTCCGGAAAAGTTCTCTCTTTAGAGCCATCAGCGAGCAGCGAGAACTCATCCGCTGCCGACCGCGTGACCACCTGTCCTTGCCAGTGTGGCGCTGTCCCCCTCCCCCTCCGGCTTCTGGCGGCTGTTCGCGGTTTTGTGGACCTAGGATAGATGGCGCCACTAAAACTCCGTATAATAAAAGTTTTGTCGATGATACCAGGGTGTTGACGCATTTATATATATGTTGGAACGACAAGATTTGTAAAAAGAGTTACCTTTTATCGAGCAGGTATTCGCACAACTTGCTATCTTTGTTACAACGACCCAAGTGACGTCACGCCGCTTGTTTCTCATGGCCGCCGCTCGTGGCTGCAGGTCGGGAAATATTCCAAGTTTTGCCTCGCTATTACGCGGCGGAATCGCAACATTGCGATGAAAAGAGGTGTGTTTTCTGCCATTTGTGACACAGTGAACAATATCAAAAGCAGAAAATGCCAATTCCTTCAACGTTAAAATCGTTGCACAGCTCCTTTAAATAAAAGAAACCACTAGCTGGGGCTAAAATGTATGCATGAATAGAAATTAAAGGTAACATATGCATATTACAAATTGACATAAAAAATTCAAACAACAGGGACTCTACTCATGGGATGGCTGTAAAAAAAGAGAAAGAAATCATTAGGAAAAAAAGCATTTTAAATGATTTAGAAAGCATGAATTTTTTTTTTTTTCAATTCTATGCATTTAGCACGGTTAACCAATTCCATGCTTCCAACTGGGATCAAAGTAACCAACTACTAACATTTAAAACTAACAGAAAAATCAAGGCAGAAACATGCTGAAAAACAGCGCAAAATGCACGGATAAGAAAACACACAGGACAAGGTACTGTGTGTTCTTTTTCCTTTGTCTGGTTTTCGCACCGTTTCTCAACATGAATTCTTACCAACTAGCCCAGCCCAACTGTCCATCCTTGTAATCAGAAACATGCTTGCCTTCTCCCCTTGTGGCAGCCCCGCAGTCACTCCTGAGAAGAGGCACACTGCTCCTGCAAAAAAATAACACAAAAAAGTTGGTTGCATTCAGAAAATGGGTGCCTATTTCAGGGCAAAGAGTGTCATCAAGATAAAAAAAGAAATGCCTACATCTGTCCTAGCAGTTTCACCACAGTTTCTTTGCATGCACAAGCCATTCTTTTCATCCAGTTTAGACCTTTACCGCAAAGTGTGACCTACCCACAGAAGACAGTGGATACGCGACTTATTCTTTTCAGGCAAGGTAGGCGGCTGTTCTCGGCCACTCACTTTTTCCCACTTCAACCTTCTATTTATTCCTGCGTGAAAGGCACTTTCTTAAGAGGGAAACAGCTATTTTCCGCAGCGCCTTTTTTATTTTGTATTTGTAGATTTAACTTTGTTTTCATTTTATCCTAAGAGTATAGCTTTCTTTTTAAGAACATAGATGTTCTTAAAAAAGACGTGCCTGCCCTCTTCGTCAATTTTTTGTAACCGACAGAACCGTGGACCTGTCGGATCTTTGACATGCAGTATATTACTGTATGTCGAATATTCGGCAGGTCCACGGTTCTGTCGATTATAATAAATTAACAAAGAGAGGAGACACGTCTTTTCTTTTCCCCGTATCATGGGCCACGGAGACAGATCACTGCCTCAAGGATGGCTTCGTCTTGAAGCAGAATAGGTCTCTTCAAGGATGAAGATATATACCGTATACGCTTTTGAACGGATGTGCATTCATCACTGCACCTGATGCACAGCTTTTAAAAGTGTCGTTAGTGTTACCGTGTCTTATTGGCCTCATTAACAGAAGTCATCATTTACTAAAAAAAAAAAAGAATAGAAGGTGACAAAAAAAGGTTCCTTCCTTTTATATATATATAAGTTTATAAGTTACAATAAATATTAAAACACTGCTATCCTCCCGGCACTAAAAAGAAAAATATTTCTACTGCTCAAATAAGCTACGTTCAATGAAACAACTTCGATGAAATGGCGTTCAATGAAACAGCGTTCGATAAAACTGCGTTCAATGAAACAGCTTCGATGAAACAATGTTCAATGAAACGGCGTTTGATGAACTGTCCGGACCCAGGGGCAATGTCAATGAGCCTCATATTTTCTACAATGTAAAGCTCATTGCAGACAATGTCATAACATGGTGTTCTTTCATTGGCTAAATAAATTTCTTAATACTTAAAAATGTCTTTATGTAAAGTGGACTAATGCCTTTGTTTGAAATTTGGGCTTGTCTTAGGATGCAAAAGTATTTTTCGGGAGTTTAAGCAAAATTAGAAATATCATATTACCATTTTCTTGGTCCTAGCTGGTGCATGCCTGACCGATTCAGCAGCAGCCCATTTGGCGTCGGCTTCCTGCACGATGATGGCTGGCTCATTGTTTTCTGCCTTCTGTTTAAAGCAGGTGCGCACAGCTCCTGTTTCAAAAGTATATAATTACAACACAACGTCAGCTACCACAGTGAAATATCGACAATTTCATGCCCTACTTCAGCATAACTTGGCAGACATCGGTAACTATGAAATCAGCCAGGGTGTCTAGCAAATTCCTCCTTCTAAGTTCCCCAGCTTTTCCAGGTTTTAAATTCCCTGTCCATTACAGAAGTAATGGACAGGGAATGTCCGCAAGGAACTTTCAAGTTCCTTGCGAACACTTTCGGCTACTCTATGTCTTTTTTGGCGATCGGATAGCTCTGATAGCGAACGCTTCGCCCGCTCCATTGTTCAGCACAAGTAGTAACAACAACGAAAATGAAACATACCTTTGTTTACGTTTCCTCCACGCCGAGAGATCGGCAGAGCGGTCCGATGAAACAGGCCTTGACGGTCCGTTGACATACGGTCACGTGGTCAACCTGGCTTCGACCTTGCTTGGCTTGAGCTACTTGCACTCTTGGCGTCTTGGCTTGTCAACAGTGTGCGTAAACGAGTAAACGACTAAACATGAAGTTTCAAGTAGGAATAAACTGTGGAAACTTATCTGACAGTACTAAAATAAGTTTTTTTTAAGAGTTATAAAACATTACATCGATTGGAGAAATTGGAAATTGGTATAAGCCGTACAGCCATAACCGTGATGCCGTACTAGTGTGCAATCATGGCGGACGATGGCGATCTTGCAACGTCTTGCAGTGATCAGTGGATGACCTCGACCGTAATATCGGTAACAATAGTGAACTGTTAACATCGAAACGGTAGTGCCGTGGCTATGCGACTGTGCTGTACCATTGTGATGTGTCCAGATAACAAATGTAGGCAAAGAGTGATCCACGCAGAGCGAGCTTCGAAGCCTCAAGCTCAAATATGTTCTCGTGTCGACGGCTGTTTGGCGAGAAGTGAACGGGGGCTAACAATGTGTGTGCGATTATACTCGTTTCATTATAATTAGGGTCCATATTAGATGAGCGAATGACGTTTTAGCGAACAGCGGCATTTGAGCGAATCGACGTTTTAGCGAATAACGGGGGCGCGCGTTAACCCATCCGCCGCGCGGCGAGTCTGCGGCGGCTCATTACAAAAATGTGAACCCACTTGGCCCACCCGAGAACGCCGCTTCGCAGCGTCCGAATTTTCGCTAAAGTGTCATTCGGTGAAACGTGGACATTCGCTAACACGTCACTTGATAAAGTGAGTGCCTCCCCCCTTGGGGCCCTTCATTTTGAGTGGTCGGCGGAGTGCGTCCTTGTATCCGTGGCCCTTGATGCTAGATCTCCTTCCTACCTGCCCCTCCCCCCCCCCCCCCCCCCCTTTCACTCACTTTTCTTTAATCTCACCCCATTCCCGTCCCATCTCTCCTATGTTGCCTTTTCTAACCTTTCACTCCTCATTTCCTCGCATGATTTAACGTTTGTGGCCCCCCCTTCCCCACCTTCATAGGATTATATGTTCGTTGCCTTTGACCTTTGATCTCGACTTCGGACCCTTGACTGCTCCTCCTCGCCCTCTCCCCTTCTATCTCCTCGGTCTCCTTATTCCTCCCTCCCCTCTTCCTCTACTCTCTTGTCCACCTTCCTCTTCCTGCTACCCATCCTACTCATCTTTCCTCCCCTCTTCCCCCTTCTCTCTCGTTTGAGTGATTCTATGTTCATGGCCTTTGACCTTTTCTTTTTGGTGGCAGCTGCATATGGCTCTTCATTTTGAGTGGTCGGGGAGGTGTGATCTTGTGTCCATGCAACCGAGGCCTATGACCTGCGATGTTTTACGTCTTACCTGGCCCCACCCCGTCCCATCTCCTCATTCCCCTCCACTCCTTCTCCCCCATTGGTCTCATATTCCCTCTGTGTGCTCTTCCTCCCCTCTTTCCTCTCTCCTCCCTCTGATCTTGCTCCTCCCTGCCCCACTTCTCTTCATCTTTCTCTTCATGCTCCCTCAGCCTCTCATCCTCATTCCCCTTTTCCTTTTGTCTCCTCTCTTCCTTGTGTGAGCATGTGTTTTTAGACTTCGAACTTCATACTTGACCTCTTCTTCCTGCCTCTATTCCCCTTCCCATCTCATCGCTCACCTTCCCCCTCAACCGTCTCCCTTTTCCCCTCCTCTGTCTATGAGACAATGGCTACCGCCAGTCGTCTCACTTGCAGTGTGCTGCAATGAGCCGCCACTTTTAATTTTTCCGAATAGAGTCCTGAGCTGTAAATTGGACTGAAATATGAGCTTCTGCATGTAACTATTTCAAATTTTCAACCAGGGTGTATCTTATACTGCACGCTCCAAGATTTCTCTAAATCTCTATGGCAAGCACTGGCGCAGACAACCTAGACAGGGCGAGAGTAAGAACCACCCAGTCGCTCGATTTGACCTGAGTCCGTCGTGAAATTAGTCCTCGCTTCTATTTTAAATAGTAGAAATCATTTTGCAGCAAGCTCGGGTCGGATAGAGCAGTCGGTCGACCCCAAGAGCTCTCTGCGACCTGGCCGTAGGGTAATCATGTTCGTATTTTTCACAGAAACAGAGCTACGCTTCGAAAATAACGCAATAGAGCACACAACTAAAATACACTTTTGGTGATAATTTTAGCTAGCTACATGTTCCAAATTAATTTACAGGCTACGACTCTCATGCCATCCTATACATGTTCGGGAGGTCTTTGGGTCGTCGCGTCACCAGCGCGAGTTTTCCACCTTTGATAACACAATAACACCCCATGACTTCACCCTCTTGTTATCTTTAGCATGCGTTCCAAAAGCTGGACATTCGAATGACCTTAACCTAAAAGCTATGATGAGGGTGCATGCTAGCTCGTGAATATTGGAAGCAAGGAAATGCCATACACACAAATGAATTCAATTTTATCATAAACCTTTTGGACAGATATTTTTTTAATTTTCTGCAATCTTTCCAGGGTACATTTTGAACATTTGTTTCAAACACGCCCGTCACAAGCATTAGAGCGGTCTTTCTGTTTGTAAAAAAATAAAAATGTTTGAACAAGAGAATCAACATTGAACTATTATAAGTTTGGTATCTTCGTGTATCCTTGACCAGCCTCTGTGTGATGTGGTGATGCGTCACATTTCGTCACATTAGGCCAACATCGCTGCATAACATTGCCCGTATGTCAGGATGGAAATGTTACCAAGAGGTTATTTCTAAACGTTGCTCCAATGTTGCTTCTCTAACATTCCTGGAACGTTTGCCTATGTGATGTAACGTTACATGACGTTCAGTGACATTCAAACAATGTTACAGGAGAACGTTTCTGTTACGTTAGTTTTCAAACATTGCTATAACATACCCAAATGTGCCCCAACGTTACATTACATTTGTGACATTCCAGTTACGTTATGACAACATATGGTGCTACTAGGGTGCATGCTTGTGCGTGAGTACTTATACTCACACACAAGCACGTAGCGTTCTGCTGAACACGTCTGCGGCCAGTGTTGGGAAGTACTTTAAGCGCATTGTACTTAAAGTACTAGTTAAATTAGGTTTAGGAAACTTGTACTTTACTTGAGGTACATTCTCTGAGTACGTACTTGTACTTAAAGTAATCTTTTCTGCTCTTTCTGAGGAAAGTGCAATTCCCGACTTCAAAGTACATTCCCCAAATTTGGTTTTGTTAAATTTGTATCACGAAGTGATGCCTTGTCAAGTCCAAAGAAAAACTGGGAGGGATATTCTACCCTCACCAGAAACGTGAGCAGACGACGCACCGCCCCGTTTGTACTAGGGAGCGGCTTTCCCGTAGTTTTCTGAACTCTTGCTACTTCTCGGTCAGTCAGCGCAAGCGAGGAGGTTTAAAATATATTAGGAGAGAAAAATTAACCATAATGCAGCACCTAAGTCTGTGGTGCGAAAACATTAAATTTTCAAATCGAAGTATAAGAGACAACAGAGGAGAACGTTGGTTTGAGACATTCTCTTTTGTCAATTAAAACTTGTTGTTGGCCTCGTTGGTTCATGATGCAGTCTAGAAGTTTTTTGCGCGACACAAGGGACAATCACAAGCGAGTAGACACGGACAAGCGCAAATTCTCTTTTGTCTTTTCCTTCTATTTGAAAGTTCCTTAATTGTTTTCGCACCCCAATCGCTAGGTGTCACATCATGATTAATAATCACCAGCACGCTTGCACGCTTATTTTTTTTTTTTTTTATTAAGGAGAGGACATTTTTCTATGAGAGGATTGCTTGCGGAAGCTACGGTGCTGTCGTCATGCTCTCTCCTAGTACATTTAACCCCCTTGGGTGCAACAATCCAGTGCAAGGGGCGCCAAATTTAGAAGAGGGTCTTCTAAATTTGGCTTCATTCCTGAAAAAAAAAAAAAAAAAAACTACTCTGTGGCCGCTTGACTTTATCAAATATTCGCCGCTGTTTTTGAGGTCACGCTCCCTTGATTACCCCCGGGTAATGCATACCAATTAAAACAAATCACTGTATAGGGGAATGAAAGGGCATCATGAGATTGTGTTAAAAAACTTGTACTTTTCTTTGAAAGTACATTGTATCTATAGTACTCTACTTCAAATCCGTTGCTCCCAGTGCACTTAATAACTTACTTGTAAGTAAATTATTAACTACACTGGTACGTAAATGAGACGTTATAACGTCTCATTTACTTTGTACTTTACTAGGAGTACCTTTTAGTTGTACTTTACCCAACGCTGTCTGCGGCCTTATTTTCTGAAATCCGAATTTCGGTTCAGCATCCCTTTAAGCTGGTTGCGTGCACGTAACAACACGACTGTATGAAGCTGGCCTTTCGCACAGAGTTTAATGTGCTTAAAATTTTATACCATATGGACTCTCCATAAAAATTTCCGTCGCAATGTCACAATGGTGTCCACTTTTGTTGTTGGCAATTTCTATGCAACGACATAAAAATCTAGCGGAGGTGTCATCATTGGACTGTTCAGATCAGTGGACTGTTCGGTGTGCCTCGATATTCAAGAGGTTATATTCGGCTAGGCTAAAATATGCTTCTCCAGACTCAGGCTGTTTCTGTCCTTTGTGTTCTGTTATAACTAGGGTTCCGCGTTTTCGGTTTCTATTTTTTCAAAATTCGGCGAACTTTTACCGGTGTTTAATTTAAAATACAATTTACGGTTTTTTTCGGCGGATATTTATGCCCACAAAAGTTTATCGGCTTTTTTTGGTGAATATAAAATAAACACCAACGGACACCGGATCAGACGATCCTTGTACGTAGCTCTGATATTTGTGATCACTCAAAGAATAACGGCGCAGATACATTGAAAAAGAAATGGACACTTCATTTGGCAAATGTGTGCAACTGTAAAAGAAACAAGAAAAAAAAAACAGAAGTCCAGACAAGTCAGATATGAAGCCTATGCCCAATAAACATGGAACTTCACTTTCTGTACATCAGGATTACGCGATCTCCATTATAGTACACACACATGTACTTGCCAAGGTTCTCCTTAATGCGCACTTTTTCTTTTCTGTTAATATGACCCTGAGCT